GAATTTAAAGTAAATTATATAATAAGCGTTGTATAATGTGGCCATTAAATGTACGTTTTTAAAAAATTCTAATCAACTGTAAGGCACGTTAGATGCAATTTTTTTACTGACAAACTCGACATCTAATTGGTTACAACAAAATAAATAATGATAAATTTCCAATAACTAAAGATAATGTGATCGTTAAATTTGCAATAATAATAATATTAAAATATGCTGATAAAGACTTAAAAATTCTTTTACCGGTACGATAAAAATACAGGGAAAATATTCATTAAAAAATTAGGCTTAGTTGATAATTTCAAACCTTAAAAATGATAAATGATATGAAAAAAGCAAATTTTTCCATAACAATTAAACCACAGAACTTATTTAAAAATTAAACGAGAAAACATAAAATTTAATGACACATGAATTCAATAAGAATGAATTATTATTCTACTATAGGAGGCGAATCGGCCTTGGTCAAATTTCAAATCTCCGTCCCTATTTTTACGGACTTCCAAAAAACTACTGTAGTTGCCGGGTGGCAAAATAACGACGTCTATTTTCTATGCAAGTCAATGGGAATTAAAGTGATTTTTGTAAAATTTAGTAAAAAGAATAAAAATAAGCCGAAATAAAGAACCTGACTACAAGTATCAATGAGTAACAAAAAACGGCAAAGCAGGATTTGCTTCGTTGCGGGTTGAAAAACGGGATATAAATCCGAAATAAAATTAAAGAAAACACAAGGAGTAAAGTAATGTATGTATTTCTAAATAATATATATTTATTGTAAAATAGTCACAACCCGTATCTTACGGAGTGTAGTTTATTTAATTACAAAATTCTATAATAAAAAATAATAAATTCATTAATCCTGACTTACAAACAACAATAATTACACATTAAATTTAAATTACCAGAAAAGAAAATTTGCTTTTTTTATGTTTTTTGATGTTAGATGAAGAGTTACTACTGTTATTTTTCTTTATTGAACTCCAATTTAGTCATTGCAAATATTTTTTATAGGATCCTAAACGTTTAGAACAATGGCAGCATGTGATTCCTAGGGCTGATAAAGTACTGTCTAGTTATGATTCTGTTTGCGAGCTACACTTTTTAGAAGATGATATTTTAAAATTTGATGAGACTATTTTAACTAATGGTACTGTTAACAAAATAAAAAGGGAAAGGCCAATATTAAAGAACGAAGCAATACCATGTATATTCCCGAATCTCCCTTCATACTTGCCCAGTATTAGGAAAAGACAAAACTACCATTGAACCGAACTGAATTTGTTAGAATAAAAAAAAGGAAGAAAATACCAGAACCTATTGCTGAAGAAACTATTCACCAGGATGATGAAATTGTAGTTGTCGAATATAAAATTACCACAGAACTGTTCTTACCAAATTTCACCATTTAACAAACCTTTTCAAATTTGGTCATACCTAATTTTCATTTTATTTAGATAAAATTAAATAATGAATAGTAAATAATGTTTAACATAAAGACTCATTTATAATTAATACCAAAAGTATTTTCTGTACTTTAGTTAGCAATTAAAACAAAGAATTATTTACTATAATTAAAATCAACAGTATTTTCTGTGCTTTAGTTAGCAATAAACAATTTGATTTTTATTATTTTCATAAAATTTTGTAAAATCCCTCACTAAATATTTTCATTTAAACCGTGTCTTAGTATGCCCTCAGCCTTATTTAGCTTTAATTAAAAAATAATTAGCCCTACCCATCAAATTTCAACACTTATCATCAATAATTTGCATTTTACTTAAATAGGAATAAATAGTAAATAATGTATCAATTAAAATATGTGAGACTTATTTAGAAATAAATACAATAGTATGTTATGTGCTTTATTTATAGACCAGGGTCGATAATTTTTGAAACAAAACAAAAATAATAGTAGGATGAAACCCGTTAAAAAAGGACGAGAATATAATAGAAATAAAAGGAAAAATAATTTACGGGAAGTGAAAGGGGTTGAGTTTTTAAGGGTAAAAAACGGTGTATCTCAATTTCCGGAAAAACTACAAGTCCTATGGAAAAAAACTAAATGACAAAGTTGTAGGTAATAAAGAGACCTACAACTTTTGTAATTACACTTTTTTCACATAACCTCAAAATGTATGTGAAAAATTCAAATAATCAAGTTTTTGGTTTTTTATTTTTATCTTATGCAAAAAAAAATTTTTCTCCAAATTTGGTGGAAACTTACCTTTTTATGTCCTAAAGACACTGTAATTTTTTTGATTTGGAATATTTATTTTTTCACCTTATTTTGACTTAATATCCAAAAACACTCTAATTTTCAATCGAAAATTCTTGCGTCAAAGAGTCGGGGAGTTTCTTTGTTCGTTGAAATCTCTTTTTTCTGATAATGTGAAAAAATATATACATAACTATGGTAAATGTTCTCAGAAAATGCAAAGAAAAGAAAAAAACTCGAATCCAAAATTTTTTTTTAATCATTATGAACAATCTTGAGCTATTTAGTAAAATTGACACTTTAATTACTTGAAAAACGTCAGATTCTATGTTACATTGATAAACAAAAAAATTACAAATCCATAAATCATAAAAATTGCAAGAAACATGCGAAAATAGTTTATCTAAATATTAAAGATAGGATTTAAAGGGGGGATTTCAATTAAAAAATGTAATTGCTGCAATTTTTTTTAGTCAAAAAGTTTATTTATTAAATTCTTATTACATTTATGTCATAGAAAATCTCATAATATATGAATAGAAATGTAAATCGTACTATTGAATTTAGATACTATATACTGATTATTATTATTCATAATAATATTTTAAAATGCATTAATCTTCTTAATCTTATCTTGAACCCTAATCACTTATCCATTACTTTCTGTCTTTTCGGTGGCATTTCTTCATCGTTAGATTCGACAAACCTTCCCGATTCTAGTAGATCTTCGAAATCTTCAAGACCATCACCGTCTTCGTATCCAATATTATTTTTAGTCTGAATTGGTCCTTCATCCACAATTTCATGTGAATCACTAACTTCTTCGTAGGTTTTTTCTTCCACATTAATTTTTCAGAACCATTACAATTTGAGCATAAATTTGTGCATTTTAAGCCATGTTTTCGGCAGCCACATTTTGGACTGTTACATCCAGTTTCACAGCTGCAGCAAATAGTTTTGAGCAATATTTCCGGAATTAACTCCCTCTCTGTAAATTTGGGCATAATCCCACGTTGATGTTGCTTCCAGCCCCAATCTGTTGCTGTCAGTTCGTTAGCCAAGTTTGAAGTTGATAGATAATATGCCCTGTAACAATGTTGTTCTGCTGCACCTTCTGTGGGTGGGAGATTTGCCAATATGAAAGATGATTTAATTTTTGCCAATTGATATTTTTGAAATCTTAATTAATTCAGTGTTATATTTTTTTCGATATCTTTTTTGTTTGCATCTTTTTTATAAAAAATATTGGCCAAATTTGACATATTTTTATCGTATAATAATGAATTTACAATACTCTTCTTTCCTTTTATGGCAAATCCAGATGTTGAATCGCAACCAGAAAAACAATGCAGAAATGCAACCATATTTTTGAAGAATTCATATTTGAAACTATTAGACGTGAAAAATAGATCTTTTACATTTCCAGAAACTGGTTTGAGAAAATAAATGTCATGATTATTTGAAGTTAATTGATTCAAAAGGACCAAAAGATCAATATCTTGACCCACAACAATGACAGTTTTATTGGTATCTCTGGCAATTTCTATCGAAGTTTTAATATCTGCAGTGATTAAAAAAAAAATTCGCATTCGAGTTTTTTCTTTTCTTTGCATTTTCTGAGAACATTTACCATAGTAGTATATATTTTTTTTACATTATCAAAAAGAAGAGATTTCAACGAACAAAAAACTTCCCGACTTTTTTTAAAAAGCTGATATTTTGACGCGAGAATTTTCGATTGAAAATTATGGTGTTTTTTCGATATAAGTCAAAATAAGGTGAAAAAATAAATATTCCAAATCAAAAAAATTACAGTGTCTTTAGGACACAAAAAGGTAAGTATTCACCAGATTTCGTGAAAAAAAAAATTTGCATAAGATAAAAATAAAAAACCAAAAACTTGATTATTTGAATTTTTCACATAAATTTTAAGGTTATGTGAAAAAAGTGTAATCACAAAAGTTGTAGGTCTCTCTATTTTCTACAACTTTGTTATTTAATGTTTTTCCATAAGACTTGTAATTTTGCTGGAAATCGAGATACACCGTTTTTACCCTTAAAAACTCACCCCCTTCCACTTCCCGACTTCAGATCGCCCGTAAATTATGTTTCCTTGCATTTTTGTTATATTCTCGTCCTTTTTAACGGGTTTCATCCTACTATAATTTTTTTTCACTTTTTACCATTTTCAAAATTATCGACCCTGGTCTATTAGCTATAAAGAAGTTTATTAATTCCCATAAGAAGCCATGCATTTTGAACTACGTAAACCGTACCAGCGCCCATGCGGTTAATTATAAAAGCTCAATTGACGTGTGATTTTTGGGACCGTATTTTGAGCATGCCGATTCGCCTCCTTATTTCTAGTCTTTATATATTCTACTAAATGAATTTTAATGACACTTTTTAACTGCCAAAAACATACTCGATATGAGATTGGATTTAAGGAAATGCCAAAATCAAAAATCAAAGTAATCTACTCTTATAGTAAATTTTAAGCGAAATTAAGTTAAACCAATCTCATCAAAAAATGAATTCACTGGGTTGGCATTCTCATAATTATAATTTTCCCCAAAACCTAATAAAATATTGAAAAACTAAAAAAGTGGAATGGAAAGTAGCTGAAGACCTTCTTATGAACCCACTTTGTAAAAAGAATGATGATATTTAAAACACCTTTTGTGCAGATAAAAAAATGTCTAAAATTCTTATTTTTCTTTTTTTATACTGTAGTGAGTTTTGAATGTAGATCGTAGAAAAAAATATATTTTCTCTGTTCCAGGTGGTACAATCACGCAGGATTGGAACCAAGTCTGATAATTCCTGGTCCGCGAGTGCGACAACTTGGACCAGTTTTGGCCATTGAAGCTGTAAATATAGAAGACGGTGAGAAGAATGTTTATTAAATTATGCCTGCTAGGGTTATTTTTACGCTTTTTGGCGATACTGCCTAGGCTTATTGTGTCACTTCAAGTCTTAGACTAGTAACCCATAGGTTAAACTCTAGTCCAATATTTTATATCCTTACAGTGATCCATCGAAGACTAATGCATAGTATAGAGAACAATCAATGTTGCAGAACTGAGAATTTGTCGCTATTTTCTCATGATTAGTTTACGAGATGTCAAGCGATTTGCTGTTGTCAATGCTTTTTATAGTAATATTTTGTGAGTGTTGTATCCAGGCATTTGTCAGTTGAGTTATTTTTCTTTTTAGTGGTGGTATTCAGAGTTTGTTAATGATAAATTATAAACTTTTCTTAAATATCACGTATAATTTATCAATAGTCTTTTGAATTTGAACTTTAATGCTTTCTCAATTTCAAATGGAAGACCAAATATAGAATTTTTGAAAGTGGGCTATTTAACACATTCGTCTCCGGTACAATTTTCAAATAATATCTACATGCCAGTACGATTTTTACAAAATATTGTGATATATTTTATTGTTAAATATTAAACTGTGTCTAGATAAACAGATTATGAATTTTTTTTTCGTGTAAAATAAAAATAAAAAATGACCGCGCCTGACGCGGCGCTGGCATGTGGTTTGAAATTTTGTTCCATGTGCCTCCACTGCTCTGGGCGCGTTTCGATTTGCAAAACGTAACAATTATTTTTAAAAAAGAACGAAAACTCGAAATACATAGAACATGAATGAAACAAATGAATAAAATACAAGTAATTAAAACTATATCCAACGGGGACGTAACACTAAACAAATTTTAATTATGCAAATTCTCATGGAATAATCTAAAACAATTCTTTAAACACAAACCAGGTTCATTAGGACATTGAGGACAGTAAAAAATAGAATCCTTTCGTATTTTGCTGGTGTCCCAACAATATTTACAACGTCTTCTTTTGATTTTGTTGTTAAGACCTTTTGGACAATACTGAGGTAAATGTCCAACTGATGGTGTTCTAACACGCGGAGATTGTGGCGATGGTCCTAAAAGGCTTTCAATAACAGACAGTCGAAAATTGTACAACGACATTTTTCTCTCGTTTCCATTATTATAGAGGAAATGTGCATTATTTAATATTATTTGGAAAATATGTATTCCAATTTTTTTATACCACCGTATACACTTATGTTCACAACTGTAATAACTCAGCATTTGATCACTTAAGTCAATAACAACTTTATATTTATTGTATTTAACAATTAATTCAGGTTTTTCGGATTCAATTCCTCTTCTAGATCTTGTTGCAGTCATCTGATCACAAAATTCTGAAGATATCATGCAAATTTCTCGTTTCTTTCCATTTGGTAATACATATTCCTTCAGGACTGTACATACTTGCTACTTGATTTTTTCTAATTTTTTTGTCATCAAATTTTTCGGATTACCTTTTTTGTCTTGTCGCAATGTGCCTGTGACGTAGGTATTAGCTTCAAGTAATCTTTTGGTCAAATGAACACTATTATAAAAGTTATCCATATACAAAGCATGTCCAGTGTTCATATGACTCTCCATTAATTTCAGTACGACTTTTTGTGTGTGATATCTTCCTCCAATTGTACGATCTTGTGAACCACCGTAGACGATTAACTTTTGAATAATTCCAGTATATTCTGTTAAAATATATAATTTTACACCAAACTTGTGTCGTTTACCTTTTATATACTGTCTAAATTGAAGTATTCCTCGTCACAAAACTAAAGATTCGTCAATTGTTATCTCTCTTTTTGGATAATAAATAGCTGCGATTCTATCGTTGAAAAAATCAATCAAAGGGGATATTTTATACAGCTTACTCACGGCTTCATCTGTATTCACGCAAAAATGCAAGGCTCGTAAAATTAAAATAAATCTATTGCGACTCATATAGTTCGCAAAAACTGGCAGACTAAATAACGGATTAGTTTTCCAATAATCATTTATGCGGTTTAGCTTTATTGTTTCCATATGGAATAAAAAAAACCGAGAAAAGTTTTAAATTCACCTGCAGTTAAGTATTTCCAGAAAGAAATCCTGCTTGATTCTGTTTCACTTTTTGAAAGTATTTCAATAGCATAGTCATTTGTGTTTGAAATAACAAGTTCATAAAAATCATTATTGGCTACCAGGTTAAAGTAATCTATAGGAGCATTTCCATTTGGATTTATCCTGAAACCAGGTTGACCTGTAAATGGTATTCTATCGGGTTGAATTACCCGTTCAGACCAAGTAAAGTCATTTGCTTGTAGAAGCTGCTGTTCATTTTGATTTTGATTATCTCCTTGAAGAAATTGCTGGATTTCAGATAAATTCTCACCTTGAGAATTACCATTACTACCACTATCTTCACTTTCATTTTGCCAGTCAGAATCATGTATATAATCCACTTCATCATCACTAGAATCCTCTAATACTGATATCAACTCAGTTCTGCTCATTGCAGGCTTATAGTAGTTCTCATCATATCTTCCTTTTTTTGACGTTGACGGTGCACTATCGATATTCATTTTAAATTTAAAACTGGCAAATGAAACCGTCAAATTTATGCAACTTCGAATTATCAAATAAATAAATAAAAAATTCTTTATCTCTATTGAACTGTGAATCTGACACTGACATTATTAATTTTTGTAACATAGCAACTCCAAACATTTATATTTCACAGCCGCCTCTAAGTATTATTTTTTTTCTTGACGGTTCGCTATACACGGGGATCCCAACTACCCGAAACAGCAGAATTACTCGGCGGTAGTGTGTTAGAAAAAAAATATAGTAAATACAAAGGTTTTGAGATTTTTTATTGGTTATTCAACGTCGTTGCCGGTCAAAAAAAGGAAGAAATGATTATATACCTGCAATGAGCAGAACTAAGTTGATATCAATCAGTATTATAGGAATATCTTTATACATATAAACTTTTTGACTCAAAATTAGCCCAAGAATTTTCCGTTAAAATAAGTACATAACATTAAATAACACCCGCTATTACTATAATAAACACCCTGCGTACATGCTACTGACTGCCTATTTTCGTTTTGAGGAAAATTGGAATAAATAAATTGAGAACGCGCCAGGCGCGTTACTGGCCTATGCCTATGCCTCTAACCCTATGGTAACATATACATTAACGCGCAACTGGCATTGCCGTAGACGAAACTAAGTATTCCCTGAAACAAATGACACCTTATTTTATGTACCATTAAATTTTCAATAATCTACATAACATGATACCATCAATTTAGGCAAAATGAAAAAATAGGTGGGAAGCGCGCCAGGCGCGTTAGTGGCACACGGTAAAATTTACAACAAAGCGCGACGTGCGTTGTCGGAGACGAATGTGTTAATATACTGTTACGCAGTAGCCTGAGGCTATCATAGGAAACGTACAGATAGAAAAAGAAGTGGAATGTTACTCATCCTTCTACAGTGTGCTGCGGTCATCATAAGTAAAGGTACGAGTAAATGAAGAAATATTTCCGAAATGTCTCGAAATGTCATTCCTTGTCAAACAAAAGTCGCGTGGGATTCCGTTTCACGATTCGACTCGAATTTGATATCAAACTCAATGACATATATAGATTAATAGACTGCTCATCCATATATAAACAAGACGACGAAAAGCGGGTCATATTGCTTGGCTTGCCGAGTGCTCACCAGGCAGAATCGGTCTGGCCCAAATGAGTTTAAAACTCATATTTCATCAAAGTAGGAATTGAATTAAAAAAAAATTATCTGTATGTTTATTTCAAGACAGGAGCTTGCGTTAGATATTTTAAAAAAGGATTTTGAGTCATAACGTCTAGTTTACCAATTTTCAAAACATTTTAAGAGATCTAACCAATTCTGAAGATAGATATAAACAATTTTACACTAATGTGTATATAACTAACTTTAGACCACGACCACTGTATAGTGGCACTATTCGGACACTTGATTATTCTTTTAAAATTTATTTCGCATTATAAAAGCAGATATTATGCAAAAATTGAATGAACTTTTTAAAGATTTTACTAAAAGTTAGTAGCTTTTTCACATTCTAAAGTTTGTCCCCTTTAGACAATTAAGGATTATTTTGGCGGTGAATGTGAATGATTTGATGAATAATAATAAGATTCCACCAGTGGAAATCTGATCAACATCATATTAAAATGAACTAGGTACAAAGTGCAATCTTAGTTGACGTCAAGATCCGTTTAGCATCGGTAAGGGGGAAAGAAAGATTCTGACTTACAATCACAAAAAGAACGTACAACTAAGCTTAGTCGATGTAAGTTAGCTCAGATTAGTGGTAAAAAGAAAGCGACTATTAATAAAAAGAAAAGTAATCCAGCTAAAACAAGAATTATGGCTACTATCTTTAATAATGATATGTTGAGAGTACTAGTAGAATGTTAAGTGTTGAGTTATCTTCTTCAGGCAATGAATGTAGGTATGCATAATTTAAAATGTTTGGTTAATTATTATTATTATTATTATTATTATTATTATTATTATTATATTTAATGTGTTTTTGCAGTTAATGAACATATATCTACTACTGAAGCAGATAATGAAGATTTGTGTGCTGCTGAAGAGCTTTGCTTAATTTACAAAACTTCGTTTAGAAGCAGAAAATTGGGATCGATTGTTCAACACAAGTGAAGAGTGGTGATTTAGTTGATCCGTTTTCAAAGAGAATTGTCAGTGCTAAAGAACTATCTACTTTAATAGGATTGCAATCCTTCCAGTTATTAGCCACCATTGTGGAATTCGTTGTTTCTAAAGAATAGGAAAAAGGAGATCAGTTATGTCTGTAAAGGATCAAGTTATATTTACTTTTATTAAGTTGAAAACTGATATGCAAGATATAATGTCTTGTCCATTTTATTTGGAGTGAATGAAACTTTTTATCATTAAATTTTTTAACATTTTTTAATAAAACTGGTAGAAGTTCTTAGTATGG